GCACATGGTTGTAAGGGTGAAAAAAAACGGTCCCAAGTCCCTGTTTTCATTATTGTTGTAACTTTGAACAGTCGCTAAATGAGCGGTTGTGAGTCAAGGGTTCCTGTACTGTACCGTACTGCATTTCTGTTCCTGCACATATGATGATCACAGGCATTATCTTTAAGCAGAGATTGAAGGACATCTGTCCTTTGCATCTTCCTTTTGATGAGATGGTCTTTTTAAAAAAATAAATAAAATAAAGCGGAATCCATTTCAGAGGATGCAAATCTGACAGATTTGCAAGAAAAAAAAACCTCGGAAAGCAGCTGCACCGCTCCACTTAACAGAAGTACTTTGCAAAAATCAATTCACGCAAATATCCCAAAAGGCAAAGGACCCTTCAGACATCGGCCTGGTTTATGTGTGTTTTTTTGCCTTTATGGTCTGTTTCTGCTCTGAATACATTCTCTGACTTTCTTTTCTAGCTTACAAGCCTAGTAAAGCCACGGCCAGCCACTTGAGATCCTTTCTGACTGATGCTGACTGGTAAAATCAGGGATGGGGGGCAGCGTCAAGAGCTTTTTTTGAGGCTGTCTGGTGATAGACAGTCTTAAAATAGATGAGTGAAGTCAGATTCTTAAGAATGGAGCTTAATCCGGATCTTGTTTCACACCTGAAGTCACGGTTTCTCAATTTATCCCCAGTTGCAGGGATTTCAATCTCCAGAATGCTTAGCAACAGCTATGCTGGCTGGGGGAATTCTAGGAATTGTGGTGCATACGTGTGGAAGGAGCCCAAATTAGGAATTATCCATAAGGCTAACTTGGGTTTTTTGGTGCGCTCTCTGAGCTTGGTTGTTTTCTTATAGATGTTTCATTACCCAACTAGATAACATCATCAGTGTTGAGGAGGAGGAGGGGGAGGAGGAGGAGGAGGAGGAGGACTGTGGGGTCCTTGGTGCTCTCTGAGCTTGGTTGTTTTCTTGTAGATGTTTCATTACCCAACTAGATAACATCATGAGTACTGGTGAGTGTGGGGTTTTCTCCCTCTTTATATATAGTAGCTCACTCTGCCAGTGTTGGTGGGGATGTGGTTTTCTCCTTGGTGGTTCCTTGATTAGGATATTACCTTCTGCTTGATGGTTTGTCTGGTGTTAATCCCCGTTTATCTGGGTTTTTGCTGCTGGAAACCAGGTCTCCTGGTCTTCTTTATTGCCTCTTTTGAATGGTGTGTAAATGTGGTTTATCTCTATGTGTTTATTGATGGCTGTTTTGTCTGAATACCAAGCTTTCAGGAATTCCCCAGCATTTTTGGGGGGAGGGGGGGACTTAGCTTGGTTTGGGATGCTCCCAAAGTTAGCTTGCAAGTTAATTATTCCAGACTGGAAAGAAAATTCACGGAAAATGGACTCCTTGAACCACAGCTGTTATATTGCATAACTGCGGCTGTCTGTTGTCCTCCCTGGTTTAGGAGGCCCTGCAGTGCCCCCACCCACTTGCCTGTTGCGACACGCAAAGCATCATGAATTCAATACAACTCTCTGCCACAAGATGACTTGAGGGCCGGTAGCTTACCTGAATTTGCAAGGGGATTGGTTAAGGAGTGCAATAACTCACACAAACATCTTCTAGCTTTAAAGTTGCACGTGCCATTGCGCAAAATGGGGAGGGGTTTCCTTATACCCGTCATGGTTGCCTCGCTACACAACAACTAGACAACTGTAACGGGAGGGGAGGGGAGAAAAGGGAAAGTTTTCCTACGCTGTTTTTCATGCGAAATTGTTAGAACTGGCTTTTCTACTTCTGGAGTCTTCAGTAAAGTTATACAGGTGGTCCTCGTTTTACGTTCATTTAGTGACCATTCAAAGTTACAACAGTCCTGAAACAAGTGACTTATGACCGTTTTTCACACTTGGAACTGTTGCAGCATCTCCACCGTCACGTGATCAAAATGCAGCCGCTTGGCAACCGACTCACATTTGTGACCGTTGCAGTGTCCCCGGGTTCACGTGATTCCCGTTTGCGACCTCCTGACAAAGTCCATGGGAAAGTCAGATTCCCTTCACAGCCGTGTCGCTAACTTAACAACCGCAGTGATTCACTGGATAATTTGGGGCGAGCAAGGTCGTAAAGCAGAGCAAAACCCACTTAACAAGTGTCTCGCTTAGCTACAGAAATTTTGTGGTCATAAGTTGAGGACAACCTGGATCAGGTGTGCTTCATCTCCTACCTGCCCGCTTGATGTGCAGCGATTTATTTCCGCGTTGGCGGAAGAAATGGATAATCCTCTATGGTGTCTACAGTTCTGGGATCAAGTTGCTCGACCTTCTCTGTAATTCAGAAATAACTGTGCCAGGGGCCAGGATCCAGACAATAAAGTGAACTGGGAGCAGGTGAAAGCAGATCACAAGAGGAAATAAAACCGAAGTTTCATTCCACTTCACTTCATTTCAAATTAAAATTAGGTAGGCTGATTCCCCCAAGCCCATATTTCATGCTGTTTATCCTTCCAGGAGATTAAAAATGGAAAATCAGAGGCAGTTTTGTGGCTCCCTGGGTGTTGTGTGTGACATTGGCAGCCGTTGTGGCCCACCTGGGCCTTTGTGTTCTCGGAATAAATTGAGAAAAGAAATATAATCCGTGCCTTTGTTTACAAAAATCCCTCCAATAAACGAAAGGGAGAGGGGAAGATTTAAGGTATCTTGAAAGCTTCATTGGGAATATCTTGAGTGCTTTGGAAGTCTTTCCCTTCCAAAGCATTCAAGATATTCCCAATGAAGCTTTCAAGATACCTTCAGAATGCCAAGCTGGGGAAAAGAATTAGATGCAAATCAAGTGGTGGAGAAACAGCGTTGCTTGGAGTTTGATCCAGCAGGAAGGACCCATTGAAGATCACGGAAAGGTGGTGTAAATCAAGAGCAGGAAAACTACATGCAGTCCTTGATTTGTATCAGTTCGTTCAGTGACCGAAGTTACAACGTCCTCGAAAAAAGTGACTTACGACTGTTTTTCACACTTATGACCATTGCAGCCTCCCCAGGGTCACTTGATCCAAAGTTGGGTACTTGGCAACCGGTTCACATTTACGACGGTCGCAGAGACCTGGGGTCACGTGATCCCCTTTTGCAACCTTCGGACCAGCAAAGTCAACGATTCACTTAACAACCGTGTTACTAACACCTGCCGTGATCCACTTAACAACTGTTGCAAAAAAAAAAAAAAAGGTCGTAATGGATCCCTAGGAACCACGATTACACCAAGATTTCCAACAAAGTCTTTCCCTTCCAAAGCATTCAAGATATTCCCAATGAAGCTTTCAAGATACCTTCAGGACGGCAAGCTGGGGGAAAGAATTAGCTGCCAATCAAGTGGGCAGGAAGGAGATGAAACACGTCAAACACAGGTAGTCCTGGACTTAGGACCCCAGCTGATTTCTGCCGCTAAGTGAGACATTTGTTAAGTGAGTTTTGCCCCATTTTACAACTTTACTTGCCACTCCTGCTTTTTAACCTGGCCCTTTAATCGCTAGATCGAAGGGCACGGAGCCAGAACAAAGAAATGGGCAGGACCTCAACCCTCCCCCCCCCACACACACTTCCCCTAAATTCAACTCAATGTACATTAAATCCAAATCAGATTACTAACAGCTATCAAGACTATCAGTGCTGGATTAAAATGCACTTCTTACGAAATGCAATGGCTAGACCAAACCCCCTGATTTACAGAAAGAATTTTGCAGCTTCTGTTTGGGGGATTAAAGCAGGGGTCCCCAATCCCCAGCCCGTGGATCAGTACCGGGCAACGGCATGCCAGCAACCGGTCCGCACAAACAAGCAAAGACCCATCCGCGGAATGTAGGCAGCACACAAAACCACGCACCCTCCGGACCGCGGAAAAACCTCTCTCCATGAAACCGGTCCCTGGTGCCCAAAAGCTTGGGGACCTTTGGATGAAAGAGGAGGGGGTGTTTTCTCTCTCTCTCTCTCTCTCTCTCTCTCTCTCTCTCTCTCTCTCTCTCTCTCTCTCTCTCTCTCTCTATCTATCTATCTATCTATCTATCTATCTATCTATCTATCTATCTCTCTCTCTCTCTCTCTCTCTCTCTCAAGGCAAAGTCCAAGGGTTAGAGAAAAATCCAGCACAAAGAGGCAGGCCTGACACCCTAAGCTAATAATAGGCTGCTTGCTAAGATCACACTGCCAAAAGAGAGAGAAAAAAAAAGAGGGAGGGAGGGAAGGAAGGAGAGAAAGAGGGAGGGATGAAAAGGAGAGCCAAGCCCGTCTAAACTTGGCATTCCTTTTAGCAAAGCCGTCCCTTTGGGATGAGGTCAGCCTGCTTCACAATCTCCAAAAATACGGCTGGCAGGGTGGAATTGCGACACTCGCCTCCTCTTTTGCCAATACACACACACACACACACACACACACACACACACCAGCTCTGGAGCCTTGCATATAAATAGGGGGCAGTCGCATTTTGGAAGTTTATAGAACTTTCTCGGCTGGCACCAGGCAGTTGATTTAAGCTTCTGTCTGGCACCGGAGTGGTTTAAATCTGGAGCAAAAGGGCAGCCTGGAGCTTCTTCGGCTTCTTTTTTCTTCATTTGGGGGGGTTTGAAGCAGTGCCAGGCTGATTCTGAAAGCCAAGGAGTCCCAAAGGTGGTTTTCTTTTTCCCTTTTTCCCTTTTTTTGAAAAGGCGACCGGACTTGGTTTTTCCTTGAAGACGTTTCGCTTCTCTTCCAAGAAGCTTCTTCGGTTCTGAACTTTAGTGGGTTGGCTGGATTTGGACCTAACCGAGAACTTCTGAAAGAAAGAAATTTAGGGTTTGGGGGTTGTTTTTTTTAAAATTCTGATTGGCAAGAAGGTGGGGCAAACGGTTTTATTTTCTCCCTGTAGAAAAGTTGTGCTCGGGAGAAGATTGTGGAATTCAGATTTTTCTTTTTCTTTCTTTCTCTTGGAAAACGTCCTCTCTTTTGTTTTTGATTCTGCTTTTTGTTTCTCCGGGTGAACCTCTCCCAGGATGGCTGACAACCAGATCCCTTTCTCGTGCTACCCTGGCCGGCATCGGAATCTCAGAGATCCCTTTAGGGAATCCAGCTTGTCCTCTCGGCTTCTGGACGATGACTTTAACATGTCTCCTTTTCCCGGCGACCTGACCGCCAACTGGCCGGATTGGGCCCGCTCGCCCCTGACCACAGGCTGGGCGAGTCCACTGAGGTCAGGGATGGTCCGGAGCAGCGGATTCTCCCCTCCGGGGTACGGCTCTCGCTTTGGGGCTCACCCTGAAGGGGATCCCTTTGGATCCAGCCCACCGACCTTCTCGGGAGAGCCCTGGAAAGTCTGCGTCAACGTCCAGAGTTTTAAACCCGAAGAGCTCTCGGTCAAGACCAAGGATGGTTACGTGGAAGTGTCAGGTGAGAAACGGGTTTTGTGGGGTGCGTCTTTGTCGGTTTGTGTGTGAGGTTGGGTTTTTTGGGGGGAGGGGGCTTTTTGTTCAGGAGCTCAAGGGAGGTTGTGTTCTTCTTCCCCCTCCCGTAGGGTCCCAATGACGAACCCTTGAGGGAGATCAGGCTGAGAGAAAGAGACGGTTGGAACATAGAAGAAAGGGTCTAACCTTGGCCATCTTTAAGACTTGGGGACTTCAGCTCCCAGGATTCCCCGGCCAGCCTGAGTTTGCATGGCTGGTTGGGGAATTCTGGGAATTGAGGTCCACAGGTCTTAAAGTGGCCAAGGTTGGACAGCCCTGACATAGCACATAGGCTTGAAAGGAACCTTTGGAGGTCTTCTAGTCCAACCCTCTGCTCAAGCAGGAAGTTGGTGTCCATAGCTGAAAGGGGATTTCAACTGGAGTCTTCTGGGTGCTTCCTCACCACATCAGTCTGGTTTTGGGCTGAGAGAGAGAGTGAATGGCGCAAAGTCCCCAGGAATTCCAGAGAGAGAGAGAGAGAGAGAGAAACACACAGAAACAAACACACAGAGAGAAAAACAGAGAGAAAGAAACACACAGAAACAAACACAGAGAGAGAAAAACAGAGAGAGAAAGAGAGATTATGAATATAATAAAAACAGACGAATATATAACATTTCCTCACAACTATAAACAATTTTAGTAATTCCAATTGCTGCACATGCTAAACTAGTGGGAAATTTTGCACGATTCAAGTTTAGGGGCTTGTGAGAACACAGGCACGGTGTTAACCATGATTAATATAGCTTAGTGTATTTGTCTAAACCCAGACAATTTTACTTTAGTTAATAAATCACAGAGAATAACAGAATCTGGAAAGCCTCCCAAGAAAGATTATGGCTTCGTCGGTTCATCTGGATGAAATAATAGTGTTGTAACGAATATAAAAAAAAGGGGAGAGGTTTTGATGGCACGGTTACCACTGCCATTCTGACTTTTTTTGACTCTGTCCTAGGATCAAACCATGGTACAGGGAAATAGTAACATCTCTCTCCTTATACCTTCATTTGCAAGTCACCAATGTGTTGTTTTAACAATTGAAAAATCATGAGAAACCAGAAGGAGCCAGAATGTATTTCTTGCTGTGCCATGGCGTAGAAAAGGAACCCCCCCCTCTTGTCTATTTATAAAAAGAAAACCCATGGTTAGTATAGTCTGAGCAAACCCCAAGCCACTTTAAAAGAAACTCAACATTTGTTGATCCTCTCCCTTTTAAGAGCTGCCAGTTTCCTAGCAGGAGATTAAAACCAACAAACTTTGCAGGAGTCTGGCACGTGATTATGCGCAATCAGCCGTGTGGTTAAGTTTCGAAAACTTTGCTGACAAGACCCAACATTGTCCTTTCGCTGTCTAATCCAGCATTAGTGTGATTAGACAACATGTGTGGTCTTTCTGGTTAGGTAACTCTTTTGTCCACAAAGATTACTGGGTAATCCAAAGATACTACTTTTTTTTGGTCTTCTTAATTTTATCTCTCTCTCTGTAGGCATAAGTATGCATCTCATTTATTCAACATAGGTGATATTTTGAGTGCAAAGTGCCGTTCAACGTCCACAATTGTTTGTTTGTTTTCCCCAGTCTCGGTTTTCCCATCTGTAAAATGGATCCCTTCTTTTACCACGCATGATTTTTGCTTTGTCTTCCAATCCGCCGCCAACTCAATCCATTGCCCCTCTTTGTTTTTCTTTCTAGATCGGTCTTTCTTGAACTTTTTTCTCCCGTGTTTTTTTTTTTTAATTAGCGAGGACACCCAAAAGAGCTTTTGTTTATATGGGTTATACTTATGGATACTTACGGTATGAATTAATTAAAATGGACGTTCCGCTACCACTTCTCAGCTCACCTTCTCCAGATGCATCTGGTTGTGGAATCAAAAAGAACCCTAATTAGTTTACGTGAAATTTAAATGTGATTAATATTAGGGCAATGCAGATTCCGTTGACTTCCTGAATGGAATTTTTGCTGTCAGATTGGAATTGATCCTTCCGAACGCATTAAGTTGAATTGGACGATCAAATTAAGAGTCAATTAGAAGACACAGACCCCAAAATTACTAGCCTGGGTTTCCATTCATGCTTATAATTTCTCTCTTCTGCACCATCGACAATATAATTTGGTGGCAGCCAAATTTCAGCTTTTGGGTTGAAGCTTCGGATGACGCCGCTCCGGTTGGGGAACAGCTGATAGGGAGAGAACTACAGAGAGTCCTCGGCTTATAACAGTTCAGTTAGTGACCGTCGGAAGTTACAACAGCGCTCCAAAAAGTGACCGGTGACCGTTTTTCACACTTAACGACCGTCGCAGCATGCCCAAGGCCACGTGACCCAAATTTCGAGGCTTGGCATTTATGTTTTATACGTTTATGCCGCCCATTCCCCCTACAAGGTGGCTTATATTTATTTTATTTCTCCTCCTAGAGATTTTGGGGGAGGGCTTAAAGGCTACCCCCCCTGTCTGTACCCCAGTTTCTCAACCTACAAAGGCAAAGGAGTATCTGGAAAAGCCCAGCTTTTACTTTCTTTCTGTTTTGCCTCTCGTTCCTCTGCGTCATGGCCAGAAGCTGGCAGGGAAGAAAATAGGGCCTGGCCATTTGCCAGCAGCCCAGCTCTTGCCAGTGGATGCCATTCGGTGCCCAATTTCTGGATGTTTATAGTGCTACCTCAGACTGCAGCTGTTCCTGGAATCTCAGCCTGCACAGGGACCGGGCCAGTTTTTAGCCACCATTGTGGGGTAGAACTGACCAGGAAGAAGAGAAAGAGCTCTTTGGAAATTTTAGGGAGACAGTTTATCACTTCAATAATCTTCATCATCATCATCATCTTCTTCTTCTTCTTCTTCTTCTTCTTCTTCTTCTTCTTCTTCTTCTTCTTCTTCTTCTTCTTCTTCTTCTTCTTCTTCTTCTTCTTCTTCTCCTCCTTCTCCTCCTCCTCCTCCTCCTCCCTCTTTCCCCTTCTTCCTACTTCTACAACTTCTCCTCCTTCTATCTCCTACTCTTTCTGTCTCCCCTCTTTTTTTTTTTTACTATTTTTCTTCTATGTGTTCTCTGCCCTTCGCCTCCTTTCCTTTTTCTGTTTCCTTCTCTTCCTCTCCTTCCTTCTATCTCCTTCTGTTTCTGCTTTTCCTCCTTCTACTTCCTTCCTTCTTCCTTCCACCTTCCTCCTCCTTCTCTTTTCCTATCTGTTGCTTCTTCTCTATCTTCTACTTGCCTCCCTTCTCCTTTCTTTCTGTTTCTCCTTCCTCTTCTTTCCCTTTTTCTTCTCCTCCTCCTTCCTCTCCTTCCCTTCCTCTCCTTTCTGGAGGTAGTTGAAAAGCTACAAATAAATGCTCCGGTTAAAATACATAAAACCAGGCAGAGCTTTAGTGCTGGGTGGAACGAGCGTTTTTAATGAAATCTTGAGCCTACATTTTCGTTAAAAACAATCCTAAGCAGGAAGGAAAGCCCATCTGCAGGGTTCTGAAACACTGGCATTTAAAATTTATATAAGGCAATTTTTAAAAATGCTGCATTTTAAAGCTACAATCCCTTAAAAGAGGAGCCAGGTTGAGAACGCCAAATGTTAGCCATTATCAGCCATTAGTAATATAGCCCCCAGTGCAACATACAGTATTTTATAACTCTATCTTCTTTCATGGCATCAAATTTCAATTGAAATAGATTTCTTTGAAAGACAGGGGTTTAGTTAAATGGAAGCAGCTATCTCAGTTGCCTGCAGAGTAAAATTCACAATCTGTTATGCTTCCTTGGAAAAAAATATTTTTTTATGCCCAGAAAATTAGCATCCTAATAGAAGGCTTTTTTTTTAAAAAAAATGCAAAGTTAAAATGTAATAAATAAAATAAAGCTATCGCTTCTTTGGATAGCCCAGTTTTCGTTATGTAATCTACAATTGTCCTTGGTGATAAGGAAACTTTTTTAGCCAAGCGGCTCCACACAACCCACACAGGTTGGCTCACTGAGGACTAGACTGGTGAGATGCTGGAGGGCAGCCAGTGAACTTCATTGCTAAATAACGCTAGTAAACCAGGGTTAACTAGCTCTGAGTTCAACTGTCTGTGCGCTGTGCAACACCACAATTTTGATTGCAATTCCTCTTCATCCAAAGTTCCTGAACTGATTAACCAAAACCAGAAAACGTTTTAAGGGATCAGACAAAATGTCTTCCGAGAATCAGATGCTTATTTCATGTTTCCACTAATATTTGTATCTTGATCATTAGTCGAGAATGGGTAGCGTGTATTAAAAACCCCAGCAATGAATGAGAGACGGATGATAATAAAACTCTTTAAGAATTCAATATCAGTAATTAAAGTTTCAGGCTGGGGGATTTCAAACAGCATTAATAAAAAAAACAACTTAAAATAAGGCATTGGACAAGTGGGTTTGAAGAGTGCTACCTGGGGTGGGGGGAAGAAAAACTTGAATTTATTTATATTTTTATTTATATTTATATTTATTTATTTTGGCAGGTAAACATGAAGAACAACAAGCAGAAGGAGGGATTGTTTCCAAGAATTTCACCAAGAAAATACAGTAAGCATTTCTGAAAATTAGCACCACTTCTTTCCAGCAGCTCTGTGTTCAGTCATGGGTGATAATATATATATATATGTGGACTTCAACTCCCAGAATCCCCCCCGTTTAAACCTGATCCAAAGATCAAGTTTAATCCTCAAATGCCAAAGTCAAAAATAGGTCGCACCCTCTTCTAATCTTTCAGCCTGAAAGTGACACACTCCCAGTCGTTGGCCAGCCCATCAGAGAAATGGGATCCTTTGTTTCAGCTTGCATTTCTCAATCTGGGTATGTCCCAGCTACCCCTGGAGTTAATTCACTGACTGGGTCTGTCCCGGCTACTCACTGAGTTCATGTACTGACGTTCTAGCAAAAGAATGCATTTGAAATGCAAGCTTTCCTTCGTGCCCTGCTCATCCTTGTCACAAGCCCTTGTCAAAGTCCATAGATTTCGCTTGTCAGAAAGTCGCAAAAGGGGATCACATGACCCCCGGGACACTGCGACCGTCATAAATATGAACCGGTTGCCAAGCGTCTGAATTTTGATCACGTGACCGTGGGGATACCCGCAACGGTTGTAAGTGTGAAAAAGTCACTTTTTTTTCAGCGCTGTTGTAACTTCAGAAAGTCAACCCTCCCTGTATTTTAAAAAGCCAGACATTGCCAAGCCCAAATTCTAATATTAAAAGAGGAGGGGGAGAAAAAAACGATAGGAGAAAACGAAAGGACACGCTGCTTAATTTTAAACCGTTGGCACTTCGTATCTGCTCGGTTCTGCAAAAGTTATTTTAGAGCCCTCTCCGTACAGTCTAGGGCTGGGCTCAAAAAATGCATCATATGTTGAAGCTCGCACTGCCCGTGGGTTTATAGGAAAGGAAGGGGGATTTTGGAAGGCGGATGGGTGAGCTGGGACGGGCTCAGCTGCCGAGTCACCCGAGAATTGGTGACTCATCAACATGCTTTTGTGATTTATTTTGCATCCTAGCCTAATGGTGCTTCCAGATGCTTGTTTACTCTTACGCTTTCGAGGTCCATCCAGAACTTTCCCTCTCTCTTCTCCCAAAGTGGGGCACCGATGGGGAGGGGGGAAAGGGGTCACTGTTCAGATGAAGCTTTTCCAAGTGTGTTGGAGAGCAACGTCATCCATCATGGGAAGGCTCGGGTCCAGCAGAAATATGAGGAACACTGGACAACATGCCGTCAGTCCCTAATATAATTCTATTAAGCCATATGACGAATGATTGAGGGAAGTAGATATGGACAGCCTAAGGAAGAGAAGGACTAGGGGTGACCTGATAGCAGCCTTCCAATATTTGAGGGGCTGCCACAAAGAAGAGGGGGGTCAAGCTATTCTCCAAAGCCCCTGAAGGCAGGACAAGAAGCAACGGATGGAAACTCATCAAGGAGAGAAGCAACCTAGAACTAAGGAGGAATTTCCTGACAATTAGAACGATTAATCAATGGAACAACCTGCCTCCAGAAGTTGTGGGTGCTCCAACACTGGAGGTTTTCAAGAAGAGACAGTTATTTGTCTGGAATGGTATTTCCTGCCTGAGCAGGGGGTTGGACTAGAAGACCTCCAAGGTCCCTTCCAACTCTGTTATTCTGCTCCTAATTGTAGTCACAAATCAAGGACTCCCTGTAATCTGTTCCATGCTGGAAGGGTTATTTGGAAAGGACAACATGCAAAGGGTTATAAAGAGCTAAGCCAGCATAGGTGTGGAATCCTGAGTTTCATTAAGAGTTCCTTATTAGGGCAATATATTCTTACCCCCATGCTGGTGTTTACTTGGATGCGTTAAACTGGGCACGATTTGAAAAGGCATCTGGCCAAACCTGCTTGCCAAGGAATTTACTCAGAGTTAACCCAAAGTTTGAGCTACAACGTTAGGAGGTTGAAAGAAACACCCCACCCCACCCCCCGCAAAATAAACCTTTCTTTTGTATCTTCCTTAATTAAGCTTTAAAGCAAGGTGCCCAATCTTGGCAACTTTAATACCTGTGGACTTCAACTCCCAGAATTCCCCAGCCAGCCATGCTGGCTGGCTGGGGGATTCTGGGAGTTGAAGTCCACAAGTCTTAAAATTGTCCCTGGTCAGACATCCCTGCTTTAAAGCTAAAGAAAATGGATTTGTTATCAAGGATTTTTCATGATTCATTTTGTACATAAAGGCTTCTTCCGGTCAAACTCAGCTTTGGGTGACTTCTGTGGCCCAAACATGTCCTTGGCAATGTCCTTTTTTTTCCAGGGATGTTTCTTTCCACATCTCTGTGTAGCTATAACCTCTAGGTCCCCTGAGGATGCCCTATCAAAGTACTAACAAGCCCATCCTGTTTAGCTTCTAAGGCCAGAGAAGATCAGCCAAGGTCCCAGTGCCTGCTAAAACCTCATTAATCATCAGAAAGGATGAAGCTGTAGATAAGAAATCGGTTTCCCCAAAGATTTCACGGTGTTTCCATTCTGGTTCTTTGAAGATTAACACAAGGCTGGACTCACAAAATGCATTAAACAAGGTTCACAGGGAGTTGCTGTTTTAACCTGCTCCAGAAATCCAGCATACTCAGTGACCTTATCCACAGCTCTTAATGGTTTATCCTTCGAGGCATTCTCTGTTGTGTGTCAGACGGTGAAGTCACACAAATCAAATCAAAAGCCTAGACACGGGAATTGTCTTTTGTTCACATCCGGTGTGATTGCGGCCTCTTTATCTGGAATAAGGAACGGCTGCTGGAATTGGGTATGTCTAGTTTAATGAAGAGAAAGACGAGGGGGGACATGATAGCCGTGTTCCAGTATCTCAGGGGCTGCCCCAAAGAAGAGGGAGTCAAGCTATTCTCCAAAGTGCCTGAAGGCAGGATGGAAACTAACCAACGAGAGAAGCAATCTAGAACTAAGGAGAAACTTCCTGACAGTGAGAACAATTAACCAGTGGAACAACCTGCCTCCAGAAGCGGTGAATGCTCCAACACTGGAAGTTTTTAAGAAGAGACTGGACAGCCGTTTGTCCGAAATGGTGTAGGGTTTCCTGCCTGAGCAGGGGGTTGGACTAGATGACCTCCAAGGTCCCTTCCAACTTTATTATTATTATTATTATAAATGCTACCGAATCCCATGAGATTTAGTCCTAAGGAAAATAGGCTTCGGATTATCCTCCTGAAGTACAGTACAGTTCCTGGGAATATAAAATAACTATTTGCCGTTATGTTTTTCCTTTCCTTTTCTTTCTTTTTTATTATAACCATGATTATTGAAGATATGACAGCTATGAAAAGTCAATATTACAGGTAGTCCTTGGGTTGCCACTCCAGCTGAGCCCAAAATTGTCGTTGCTAAGTGAGACGGTCATTAAGTGACTTTTCCCCCCTTTTATGACCTTTCCTTGCCACCGTTGTTAAACGAATCACTGCAGTTGTTAAGTTAGCAACACGGTTGTTAAGTGGATCTGGCTTCCCCATTGACTTTGCTTGTCAGAAGGTCGCAAAAGGGGATCACGTGACACCCCCCGTGACGCTGCAACCGTCATAAATATGAGTTGGTGGCCAAGCGTTTGAATTTTGATCACGTGATCCTGGGGAGGCCGTGACGGTCGTAAGTGTGAAAAAACAGTCATAAGTCCCCTTTTTCAGGGCTGTTGTAACCTCAAACTGTCCCTAGACCACCGTTATAAGTCGAGGACTCTCTGTACGAATCCAAATTCTATTGTTATTTCTATCTTTGTCAAAGAGACAGCAGAAAGAAGCCTTGTTTGAGACTGGGAAGAGCTTCCGTGTAATTTTTTCCCCCTCCTTGTGCTCCTCAGGCTTCCGGTGGAAGTGGACCCCACCACGGTCTTTGCCTCCATGTCCCCCGAAGGGCTGCTGATCATCGAAGCTCCACAGATACCTCCATATTGTCAGTACGGGGATGGCAGCTATGGCAACGAGATCCCTTTGGACACCCAAGAAGCCACCTGTGCCTGAAGGGGGTCCTGCCCAAGGCTCTCTCTCCCCCACAAAGTCCCTTCCATCAGCTGCCTTCATTCAAAGCCTTCTTCCTTGTAGATGTCCTGGTCAACCCTACTCTTGAGTGGACTTCTTGAGCTCCCACGTTACACTCGGGGTGGAGGGGAGAGGGTAATGTTAACCTGGTCTTTGAGGCTTTCAAATCAGTGGTATAAAATTATACACCTCGGCGATGCCCTCTCTCAAACAGGAGTGACGTTGAGTCGGAAGGATTCAGTTCCAGAAAGCTTCTTTGATCCACCACATTTGGGGTGGGGGGAGACCTCTTCTGAAAGGTTTTGAGGAAGTGTTGAAGTCAAGATTGGTCCTTTAGATGTTTCTGGATAAAGATTTAGAGCTGAGACAAATCCTGAAGAGAGGAATCCCTTGGCAATGTGACTTCAAGAGGAAGTCGCTGCTATGTCAACTTAGCGGCACTGTGGTCTACATTTCCCACCATGCCTGGTGTCGGCATTGCATTGGGGCATTGCGGGAAATGAACAGGCTAGCCTCCACAACTTTCCAAGCCAGGACTTCTTCATTGTATGAGGGAGCTACAACAATCTTTGGTCCTGTGGAGAAGTATTTAAGGACTCATTCGCCATCTAGTTTTCACTGAATCCATGTTCAGAAAGGCTCAAAGGTCCCACACCCATCATTCTGATCTAAGCCCCTTTGTGGCTTGCTTCATCATCTCACCAATAAAGATCCCAACCTTGAAACAAGGAAGTCATTTTGCCCAAACGTGCTAAGAGATTGTCTCAAGATATCTGGAGATCTTGTGAAGGTCTCCTGAAATGTTTGGGTCTTCTCAAATGGAGAGATGGAGCAGTTCAGGTGAAGAAAGGTCATCAGCTCCTGGTTGAGGTCTCACTTCCTAGGTGTAAGCTGATTCATAACACATTTTTTCCCCAACAACCATTTGTGGTGATTCCTCTCCTACACCAGGGCTATCCAACCATGGCCACTTTAAGACTTGTGGACTTAAACTCCCAGAATTCCCCAGATTGGGAATTGAAGTCCACAAGTCTTAAAGTGGCCAAGGTAGGATGGAATGGGACAATTCTTCACGGCCACATGACCCTCACCAGGTTGGACACCCCTGTTCTACACCATGGGCTGATGAAGTCTCACCTAAGTGCTTAAAGTCCTACTACTGATATTGCACTAAAGCAGTTTATCTGAGTTGCTATCATCCATTCAAGTTTACAGATGTCCAGAGCACTGATTTATAATGTGCTGAAGTTTTGTTTTTTTTTTAATGTGGTTCTCAGCACACTTTATTCTTTTCTAGCTGACTTGTGTCTTCATTATAAAATAGTCTCTTTCACCCTCAAGGGCTGATCTGGCATCAGGGCAAACAATGCTAAAACTCATCGGATCCAAACATTGCAATTGTAACAGTGCTGCAAACGCTTTGTCCTTCTTACATAAATGCTCCTTGCAACATGACACCCCAGTTCTGCTCACCAGTTTCATGGAGGTCTTATCTGATGTATTTTTGTTTTTATTTTCTGTATACTGTATCCAATGTAGCAACCAATTGTCCTTAATAAACACTTGGGTATATGTGAGGCATTTATGCCAATAGGAATAAATAGTTTTCGTGCTTTGTATTCCCTTCCTTGGCAGGGTGTCCCATACCACCAGCACTCCTGTGTTTTAAAGTTTCTTCTAAAATGAGATGAAGTTAACTTTAGAGTTGTTCCTGAGTTGAAGAACCTGGTTGGTCTATCAAGAACTAAAAGTATAAAAAGGATGGATGGATGGATGGATGGATGGATGGATGATAGCTCTTATAAAGCATATAGCCAAATTTTACAACCTTTCTTGTCACGATCATTAATTAATCATTAATCCTGCCACAGATTACCCCCCACCGACCTGTACGCTCTCACAGAGTGGGTCTCCTCAGGGTACCGTCGGCCAGACAGTGCCGGCTGGCGACCCCAAGGGGGAGGGCCTTCTCTGTGGGAGCTCCCACCCTCTGGAACGAACTGCCCCCAGAGATCAGGGTGATTCCTGATCTCCCTTCCTTCCGCCGCGCCCTCAAGACNTTGGACTAGATGACCTCCAAGGTCCCTTCCAACTTTATTATTATTATTATTATAAATGCTACCGAATCCCATGAGATTTAGTCCTAAGGAAAATAGGCTTCGGATTATCCTCCTGAAGTACAGTACAGTTCCTGGGAATATAAAATAACTATTTGCCGTTATGTTTTTCCTTTCCTTTTCTTTCTTTTTTATTATAACCGTGATTATTGAAGATATGACAGCTATGAAAAGTCAACATTACAGGTAGTCCTTGAGTTGCCACCCCAGCTGAGCCCAAAATTGTCGTTGCTAAGTGAGACGGTCATTAAATGACTTTCCCCCCCTTTTATGACCTTTCCTTGCCACCGTTGTTAAACGAATCACTGCAGTTGTTAAGTTAGCAACACGGCTGTTAAAGTGGATCTGGCTTCCCCATTGACTTTGCTTGTCAGAAGGTCGCAAAAGGGGATCACGTGACACCCCCCCCGGGACGCTGCAACCGTCATAAATATGAGTTGGTGGCCAAGCGTTTGAATTTTGATCACGTGATCCTGGGGAGGCCGTGACGGTCGTAAGCGTGAAAAAACAGTCATAAGTCCCCTTTTTCAGGGCTGTTGTAACCTCAAACTGTCCCTAGACCACCGTTATAAGTCGAGGACTCTCTGTACGAATCCAAATTCTATTGTTATTTCTATCTTTGTCAAAGAGACAGCAGAAAGAAGCCTTGTTTGAGACTGGGAAGAGCTTCCGTGTAATTTTTTCCCCCTCTTTGTGCTCCTCAGGCTTCCGGTGGAAGTGGACCCCACCACGGTCTTTGCCTCCATGTCCCCCGAAGGGCTGCTGATCATCGAAGCTCCACAGATACCTCCATATTGTCAGTACGGGGATGGCAGCTATGGCAACGAGATCCCTTTGGACACCCAAGAAGCCACCTGTGCCTGAAGGAGGTCCTGCCCGAGGCTCTCTCTCCCCCACAAAGTCCCTTCCATCAGCTGCCTTCATTCAAAGCATTCTTCCTTGTAGATGTCCTGGTCAACCCTACTCTTGAGTGGACTTCTTGAGCTCCCACGTTACACTCGGGGTGGAGGGGAGACGGGTAATGTTAACCTGGTCTTTGAGGCTTTCAAATCAGTGGTATAAAATTATACACCTCGGCGATGCCCTCTCTCAAACAGGAGTGACGTTGAGTCGGAAGGATTCAGTTCCAGAAAGCTTCTTTGATCCACCACATTTGGGGTGGGGGGAGACCTCTTCTGAAAGGTTTTGAGGAAGTGTTGAAGTCAAGATTGGTCCTTTAGATGTTTCTGGATAAAGATTTAGAGCTGAGACAAATCCTGAAGAGAGGAATCCCTTGGCAATGTGACTTCAAGAGGAAGTCGCTGCTGTGTCAACTTAGCGGCACTGTGGTCTACATTTCCCACCATGCCTGGTGTCGGCATTGCATTGGGGCATTGTGGGAAATGAACAGGCTAGCCTCCACAACTTTCCAAGCCAGGACTTCTTCATTGTATGAGGGAGCTACAACAATCTTTGGTCCTGTGGAGAAGTATTTAAGGACTCATTCACCATCTAGTTTTCACTGAATCCATGTTCAGAAAGGCTCAAAGGTCCCACACCCATCATTCTGACCTAAGCCCCTTTGTGGCCTGCTTCATCATCTCACCAATAAAGATCCCAACCTTGAAACAAGGAAGTCATTTTGCCCAAACATGCTAAGAGATTGTCTCAAGATATCTGGAGATCTTGTGAAGGTCTCCTGAAATGTTTGGGTCTTCTCAAATGGAGAGATGGAGCAGTTCAGGCGAAGAAAGGTCATCAGCCCCTGGTTGAGGTCTCACGTCCTAGGTGTAAGCTGATTCATACCACATTTTTCCCCCCAACAACCATTTGTGGTGATTCCTCTCCAACTTCTACACCAAGGCTATCCAACCATGGCCTCTTTAAGACTTGTGGACTTTAAAAAACTCCCAGAATTCCCCAGATTGGGAATTCTGAGAATTGAAGTCCACAAGTCTTAAAGTGGCCAAGGTAGGATGGAATGGGACAATTCTTCACGGCCACATGACCCTCACCAGGTTGGACACCCCTGTTCTACACCATGGGCTGATGAAGTCTCACCTAAGTGCTTAAAGTCCTACTACTGATATTGCACTAAAGCAGTTTATCTGAGTTGCTATCATCCATTCAAGTTTACAGATGTCCAGAGCACTGATTTATAATGTGCTGAAGTTTTGTTTTTTTTTTAATGCGGTTCTCAGCACACTTTATTCTTTTCTAGCTGACTTGTGTCTTCATTATAAAATAGTCTCTTTCACCCTCAAGGGCTGATCTGGCATCAGGGCAAACAATGCTAAAACTCATCGGATCCAAACATTGCAATTGTAACAGTGCTGCAAACGCTTTGTCCTTCTTACATAAATGCTCCTTGCAACATGACACCCCAGTTCTGCTCACCAGTTTCATGGAGGTCTTATCTGATGTATTTTTGTTTTTATTTTCTGTATACTGTATCCAATGTAGCAACCAATTGTCCTTAATAAACACTTGGGTATATGTGAGGCATTTATGCCAATAGGAATAAATGGTTTTCGTGCTTCGTATTCCCTTCCTTGGCAGGGTGTCCCATACCACCAGCACTCCTGTGTTTTAAAGTTTCTTCTAAAATGAGATGAAGTTAACTTTAGAGTTGTTCCTGAGTTGAAGAACCTGGTTGGTCTATCAAGAACTAAAAGTATAAAAAGGATGGATGGATGGATGGATGGATGGATGATAGCTCTTATAAAGCATATAGCCAAATTTTACAACCTTTCTTGTCACGATCATTAATTGAATCATTTTCATTAACCAAATCTGCAGTTGTTAAATGAATCCAGCTTCCCTCATTGACTTTGTTTCTTGGAATCCATTGGAGGTTACAAATGGTGATCACGTGACCCGGGGAGATTGCACGTGTTCTCAATACATGCTTTATATCCGAATTTTGATCATGCGACTGAAGGACGCTGTAATGGTCATAAGTGTAGGGACTGGTCATAAGTTACTTTTTTGAGGACTGTTGTATCTTTGTTGAACAGTTGCTCAAGGAATATGACTATTCATAAGTCAAAGGCTTCCTGTATACTGATCCCAGGTCAGGATCTGAAGACCACGATT